AACGTGGAGACCGCACTCAAATTTTCAATACTACCGTGCTGAAGTTAGTCCCGTACGAATGCGAAACTTGAAAGCTGACGGAAGCAGAAAAACCAGCAGCGCAGAGGGCAGTGGAAAGTAATGCCTTTTTATAGAAAATATAAGCAACCAGATTTTCGGCTGGACCAGTTTCGTGCAGGATGTCAGCGAGAACGCGAAAAGACTGACATAACTGTTTCCGGAAACAGCACTAATAACATGGGACTCCACTAATAGGAAGGTGTTTTGAAGTAGGAAGAAGAGAAAATAATATTAAGAAATTAATAAAAGTAGTAAAATTATTTCGACAAAATTATTATTATGGTAACAAATTTTTCGGTACATTAAGTTGCATACATTTTTTACCGTTGTCACAACTGGATCTCGACAGTACGACGACTGTGGTAATTGTAAATGGTGTAAATTAAATTTAGATTAGTTATATTAAATCAATTATTAAAATTAGTTGTATGGAAACTAGTAAAAGTACATGCTGGTGAAAGTAAAAGTGAAAAGTATTATATGTATCTCATAATGACTACTCGGGCGAGTCTTGATTTGTCTGCATATAACCCCATCTCGCTAAGCTAAACAAACAAAACAAATTTTGGAAAACTGATTTAAATATTATTGTACTGAAAAAAAAATCAACAATTTTTGCAAAATAGCCTGCGTCAGAATGAATTCAGGAAGAAGCACCTTTTTGTCAAGAATATCAAACTTTTCAGCCATATCATCGATGTTCATTAGAAAAAAAGGCGCGAACGCATGTGGCAAAGAATCCGTAATGCCTATCGCCACCTGAACTCTGAAATGAATGAAAATTCTAAAATTAAACGAAAACACAGAGATGCGAGTGGGATGTGGAATAGCAAAGGCATGACGAAGGGCACTGTCTTTCACCAGCATGCACTTTTACTAGTTTCCATACAACTAATTTTAATAATTCAACCGCCTCAGTAAGTGAAACGAGGGTGAAACAACTGCAAAAAATAAAACACTTTTCCCATTTATGCATAATAAGCCTACCCGTGGCTTGGAAAATCTGCAGCTAGAAGTTTGCTCGCAATGAACTGTGCCACAAAGTCCACATTCACTCCAGACGACATCATCACCAGCACCACTTTGCGAATTAATTCTGAAAGCATAGGCGAAACAACATTATTCCACAATTTTGAATTATTTCAAAATCTGTGAAAAAGTAAAACACTCCAGTGTGCTGCCCCATCATTCACACCGATCGTTACTGCCATTTATAAAAATCTTGAAAAAGAAAGTCTGCTTCTTTTTTTGAGGCTCTATTTAACAAACTTTGTGATATTCATTTTTTCCAGCTTGAAGGAGACAAGTTAAGCACGGAAACTGGAAAAACACCTGGGGATATTGATTTCAATCCGATATAATAATTCAGAACTGACTCCGCGAATTCCGCTCGCACCTGTTCTTCGAGCTAAATGATATTCATCAAACACATCCACTCCCACAAAACAATTCAACGAATTGATGCAAAACTGGGCAGTCAAAAACTCCAAAGAAACACGGAAATAAGAGAGCGGCATCGACTGCTGGTTTCTAGCAATATGTTTTCTTCGAAGTGCCCACTTATGATTCCCTTATAACAGAAATAAAAAAAAAATACCTGCAGGCCGAGTTTGTTTAACAACGACAACAGCAATTCTTGGTCGATGCGATTATAACGGTTCCTTTCTAAGATCTAAATGAACGGCTTCAGGCAAAATAAGTAAACACGATCAGTCACAACGTGATCAAGCATCTCTCCCACTGGTCCTCGTGCTTTCTGCCCTCGTTAAAAAAGCCTGTATAACTTATGCCACGACCTTTTCCCTTTGCTACAAAAGCAAATTAATTTCTGGTCCTCATTTTAGACATAGTCCGCCTTGGCAACTTGTACACCACCTAACTTGAGAAAAAGTATTAATAAATGCCTTGTTGGCGCTGCAAAAATTTCATATCTGGAAAGGGAGTGCGAAGAAATGTGTTAGGAATGCATAACCAGCTACACTTACACGAAATCCAGTTTTAAAAGCAGGAAAAAAAAGGTGAGAGGAAGGGAGAACGATTTTGGGGAGAGATGTCGAAGCCGGATACACCTTTCTGCATTAGAAGATACGCACGAAACCAGTGAGGCCGATCAGCGACTGCCACGCTTTTTCAAGCATGAAGTACCACATGAACCTATTTGCAAACAGCATGCTTATGGGATACTGAAAATGAAAACATACGCGCTGCAAGGCGGTTTTTAAATACGGTAGCGAAGAAATGATATCTAACAGGACATCCCAGCGTTTTCTATCCGTCTGTTCCATACAATAATCCACTGCTCTATCCAGAATTTCATCATTTCCAATATACTGCGCTGCACCACTTCTTTCATTCACATCCAGCCATTCAAACGTATCCAATAATCGAAGGAAAGCTGATTCTACGTCGAACTATAATAATACCGAATTTTTAACAGATTGCGTTTCCGGACCCAAAATAAAAGCTGTTTCAAGGACTCAAAACAACCGCCGCATGATGCTGATTTCAAGTGTATGTTTAAAAAACCCGTTTTCCGACAGCTTTGACGTCAGCACAAGCAGGCAGATAGACATGAGCACAAGATGTCCAATGATGAAAGCAGATTATGACAAACAATCGCGACCTCCTTCTTGTTGAGAATGCAAAGACTACAAAAACGGGCTGCAGTCACAATAATTTTTGAAATTATCTAAGATTGTGCTCTTATCATATCCAGCAGCGACACTGGAACTGAGCTCCACATCCAGTTCAAATTCATTTTAACCCCTAAACCTAAGTATAGGCTGCTGTGATTTCAACACAAAACAGGATAAGGAGGGATGAGGAGAGGAATGTTATTAGGCACAGAACTCACAAGAATAAAGATGAGAAGTTAGCAGTGACAACTGGTAACATCTGGTTCCGGAGAGATGTAGAACGGCGACGGACCTGGCTTGTGCCAAATGCAAAATGCAGAATAAATCGACTAAATCTAGCGCATTTTCAAAAATGCCTCTGTAATGACATCATTCCCTTCCCGGAACTACGAGCTACATTATTCGAGTTGTTCAAAAGGAATTCTGTGTGCTGCAAATCAACGAAACATTTCAACAGCAATAATCGGGAAGAGCAATTTTATCGCTGCGTAAGCTGAACTGAATACATCTGAGCCTGAAAGTCGTATTCTGGATCCACGCAGCTATGAAGCCATCGGTGTACAAACAAAGGCGTGGAAAAGGGTAAAATCCAAGCGTACCCTTTCCAGGGATGCAGGAGGGAAGCCGAAAGAGAACCTCGAGAACTATGAAACGGCAGGTATCGGCGGTTCGAAAACAACCTGGAAAAGTGCATACAGCGCAGTATTGCATCTAACAGCTTAGAATAGCAGTATTTTGGTAAGAAAATAGATGCCGGGCCATGCACTGATCAAAGATTTGCAAAATTTAATAGAATCCGTTTTCGTCAAATACGGATATTCTAGCAGCTGTAATGTATACCAAAAATCAACAAACTTTCGTTTGTCAGTAAAGCAGGTACTCTTCCAAATGAACAAATAGGAAGGCTTAAGGCAACGACGGCACTGCTGTCGAATTCATAAGGCATGGCATTCGAAAGGCTCATGATTTCGGCCCAGCCTGGCCTGGCCGAAAGGACTTCCAGCTATTACAGCGATCAAACGCTGTTTCGTTGCACAGAAAGGGCGATAAAGATGTATGGAGCACAAGCATCCCAGTTCGCTTGCTGCAGCACAACGGACTACATTTTGCTCTAATGCAGCTTGCTGGACAGTATAACAGGGAACCAACTCCCCTTCTAATTATCGATTACGAAAGGCATACGAAAAAACTGAGCTACAAAAACATAGTGACAACATAGCGGCATTGGGAAAATAACGTCCAACTGTGCCAGCTACTCGTCCATTTCAAGATGGTCTTTAATCAGTGGAACGCAGTAATTTACTCATGCCAAGGAATCCATTTCGAATTATGAAAAGCCCGATTCAGACAAAAGCCAGCCTTCATGACAAAAGTATGAATGGAGGAAATGACAGACGCGTGAGGCAGCATAGCAGTGTCCCAGAAACTCTTGCCTAAGGCGCTGAAGAAATACTTTCGGGTACTAAAATGGCAGAATGGTTCTGAGTAGGTGGTGACGTATTTTGCCAGACCCCAAATTAAAGTGCGTGATCAAAACCTTATAAAATTCGGCAACTCGTCGATCGAACACAGCGGAAAGTCTGAACAATAGTTTTAACAGACGTCGTGCGATGTCTTCATTTTCACTCCAATCGATTTTTTCGGATATGAACTGACACAAAGGAAGTCGATCGTTGATGTCCTTTAAAACGTGCTCAGAACACCTCTCCAGCAAATGAATTTTAACATCCAGGCTGACCACTGCGCTTTCCAGGACTCGCTCTACGAAACTGGACCATACCGGCTCCACCTCGTCGCGAAACATCGCTTCGATCACCGGTTCCATGCGTGACAGCTACAAGTAATTATATTTCAGGACGACGACCATCACATCCCTGTCTTGTGTACTTTACGATTTTAAAAGGCATGATAAAAAAAGTAGCTCCTTAAATGTCCGCTCCCCTCCCACCTCACCGGCCTTCTTCCCTCTCGTATTGTGATTTTTCTTCTACATTTCCTACAAAATTTCCCCAATCATCATAACTGGTGGCGATTACTCCATTACAGCTTTACCGACCATTAGCCCTTATTTCACATATCGTAAACACCGCAAATTATACCTCGCTTGTTAAATATCTCTCGATTTTTACACGTAATTCAGAAACAGTTTCCGGACTTTTCGACCATAGATCGAAAATACGTCTCGGGAGCTCTGCCAGTTTTCGCGTTAATGGAATATCATCCCAATCCAACGAGTATCTCACTCCAATCAAAACCTTAAAAGGCAAATAAAATGCACAGAGTACAATTAGATGAATGAAACACCAAGCGAAAAGCGCATACCTTTGTGAGCAAAGCATCAGTCAACGCAGTAAAGTCATCAGCGGTGCATTTATTTGCAGTCCATTCGGCAGCAAGCTCAATGAAGGCTTCAAACGAATTCACCCAGACCTCTGAGAGCAGAACGTCACATGGTATTCTGAAACAACACAACCTCGACATTAAATCTGCAATTTATATAAATGTTTGAACTTTGATTCTCTGGAAACACTGACACGTCCTTTTTCATCATCAATAATGTAATGGCAACTTCTCCATTCTTTTCTCTGAGCCTCGCTCATCCACGTGAATCTCATCACTTCCCTGTATGCAGCTTTTCCTGGGCTAGAAGCCTTGTCCACCACTGCCAGTTGATCAGACCCGTTTGCTTGCCTCCCATACACTGCCTCGACAACATCGCATGTGCCACTTGGGAATCGCAGTACTCCGAAGACGTGCAACATTTGCTGGCACCTATAGCGTGCCGCTCTGTGCCTCGTTGTGCTACGCTTTTTCTCCTCAGCAGTACACTTTTCACTTCACTACAACAAAGCTGACCAGCGGTGCGGAGTGGGAACTATTCCTATTCACGGTAGGTGCTGGTGAAAATGTCTCGTTAGCTGCGAGTACCCATCCTGCTCCGCTGCCTTTTATCTCCACTCTCAGCTCGTTGCTAATTAATCTCTACTGTTTGCTTCAAATGGGAACAGTCGCCGAAGAGCCGATCCCTTTTGGGCCGAAAGCAATAAGCATTCTTGGTCCGTTTAGTGCCCTCTTTGCAGACTCGCAGCACAATTTCGTCCGTACTTCTCGTAAACTGTTTTTAACGGATTATAAATTCCCTGCAGCAACTACTAAAACGCAGCTCGGTCGGGTCGAGAGGTCATTTGCAATGTCTGGAAATGGAAGACAGAAGGGCGGAAGAAGAAGAGGGCAGAGAGAAGATCGTGGTGTGGTAGGTCTCAGCCCCTTTCCGGAGGGGAAGCAGGTGGAGTTATTAACTGGAAAGGGGCTGAAATGTTGGTTGAGGTAACAATTCGAAACAAAGGTAGGGTTTATAGGAAAAGAGCGTTACATGAATTTTCAATGCCCGATATGAACTTGATGCTGAGGGGGTGAAGTTAGCAATTTCGGAAGCGACACTTGGAAGTTCAGTCAGACAAAATGTACGGTAATGGAATTTTCGCAATTTGATCCCAAACTCGAAGACGTGCGCATACGGTGGGGTCGAGCCGAGCTTCAGTAGTTGCTTTTTCTGCATAATGCCGTCTGCAAAAATATGAAATTGCAGTTGTATATGCTGGCATCTGCAACGTTTACAATTTATGAAGCAAAAATGTTTAGGATTAAATTACTAATCAATCTAAAAAACTGGACCTGCTCAAAGCTCCCACTGCCAGCTAGCAGCAGTTACAACTGCAACAAACTCAACAACTCATCGCAGATCTCACTTTCTCCTCCCTTCTATTTCCCAAGACAATTCATCATAATACTTTCTGATGAAAAACTGCCGTTTACTGAAAATGGTTTGCACTGTTTGGCACCACAAAAGCTTTTTGAAAACGAGAACTGTGTCAGAGCGGTACACTGGTGAGTACTCTAATATTCAGTTAGACTTTTAAAACTCAAAAAATGATCATCCTCAACAGTTAAGCAGAGCTAGCTTATCTGCAAGCGATGGGAGGGATGCAATATGCCAAACACTTCTCCAAAATTACAAAGAAAAGTAGGGAAATGAACACCACAATAAAGAATACAGTGCGTTTCGAGCACAGCAACCATGGAAAGACTGTCACCTCAGCTGATGACCTAGCTTGATTTGAGGATTAATAAAAAATACTGACAAAAAGTAGCACTAACCCATCTACGAACGCATCCGAAAAAGAAACCAGCATTTTTCTGCCGTCCGTCGGAGTTTTGTCGGCCAAAAAACACTCTATTAGAGGCACGAAAGACGCCGAAATATGAATCCAGTGACTGTAACAAAATTTCAGCCATAGAGCAACAAATAGGCTTATATGATTGTTTGGTTACATAGACAACATTAGCTATTCCGCTCTCACCTCGCTGCACTCTTCAACGCCGATCTGTGCACAGCGCTCAGGGCACATTTTTGATTCATATAAACTCTTGCAGTAATATATGCGGAGAAATTTTTGATATGGCAACACCCAAGCTAAAGGGATATGCTAGCATAGGCGCAAATAACCATTTCGCGCAGAAAAATAACGAGGAAAGAAAAGCAACGGTGTGATTCTACCGTTGCTTTTCTCATCGGTGATTTGTCAACGGTGATTTGCCTCATCATCAAATGATTACACCTGGGAGGTTACTGACAGCACGAAAACGGACTACGATGAAACAGCTGCTGATCAAAGCACTCAGCTTTGTGCCATCTCAGTAGCCTGACACTCGCACAACTGCAGTTTGATTAAGAAAAATAAACGCCACCACCAAATCCACCTACCGTTCCTTGCGCACTATTAAAGAGTGCACTCGTGGTATCACAACTTCTTCAGCATCAAACACATCAAACAGTTTCTTCGACTTGACTGCGTGAAGCACAAAACGAGCAGCGGCACGAGATACTCCCCGATCCATATGATCCAGCTGGTGCAGCGCAGTCAGAGCTAACTCATTCTCTAAAACTGCGCGCCAGTGCGGTGTTGACTCGATAAATTCACGAGCAAAGTTGTACATCCCCACGAGCACCTGCAAGCTGAACATAATTACAAACAGGGTCAGAAACTTTTCAGTTCTCAGCCACCAGCTTTTCAACCTAAAGAAGCAGAAGCCGAATGAAACCAGTAATATTTGAAAGCAAGATTCGCCAGGATACGATAAGATCAGCGATATTTATTTTGGCCATTGTCATAAAGGCTACGATTGCTTTCAAAGAGACATCTACTTTCAAAAATCTATCCAGTTTGAAACCCAAGTGTTGCAAAAAGAATAAATAGTGGCGCGCACCAGGGCAGCCGGTGCGATCATGCGTGTTGTGCAATTCCGTTCACCAAAAAATTGCCTGCTAATGATTTTCATTGCCCAGCCGAAACTTTCACGGGGCCGTAAGTGATACTCGGACGCGCGGAAAGCTGAATTTAAAATTGCAGGGTTGTATGTGAACAGAAGACAGTACCACAAAATTTAGCTCCTGGCTTTTATGGTTCCCGAGACAATAATTTTCCCGCCAAAGTTTTCACGGGGCCGTAGGTGATACCGAAAGCGCGGGAATGCTGAATTTCAACGGGCAAGGTCGAGCGTGGGTAGAGCGTTATTACACTAAAATTTCAGCTTCGTATATTCGGTGGTTTCGGAGATAATAATTTACCGGCGAAAATTTTCACGGGGCCGTTCGTGTTACCCGCGTGTAGAATTTAAATTTTCTGGGTCATGTGTGGGCAAGGGATATGCCCACAAAAACTCCAGCTTTCTAGCTTCCGTGGTTCCCGTGACAATAATTTTACCCGCTCAAACTTCTACGGAGTCGTATGTGTTGGCCGCGGATACGAGGAGGCTGAATTTAAATTTGTGGGATCACACGTGGGTGGGGAACGTTCCCCTAAATTTTCAGTTTCCTAACTTTTGTGGTTGAAAGTTGCGGACAACTTGCTGCGGACACATACTCACACACACACAAACACACAGACAACCCCGTGACAATATGCGTCTACACAGCACAAAAAGCATAAAAAACCCAGGCTGGAACGCACCAAGCGGGCCGGTGCGATTATGCGTTTTTGCACTTTTCGTGCTGTAGCCAGATCGCAAGGGATCACAGCAGTTAATGCTGTGACACACTGGCCCTCAAAGTTCGGAAAGTTAATTGTGCAGTTTTGTGGTACGTCGACTTCAGTGAAGCATAAATAGGGCAGTTTGAATGGGACCAAAAATAAGATTCAATAAATGGCCAACGCACGGGCTGCCCGTGCGAAGATGCGTTTTTTGCAGAGTTCCCCGCAGT